CTCTCCCTTTATCATCTATGGTTTCTTATGACAAATGTTCAATGGAGTACTCTTTCTTATGCCATAACATCATCTCCTTTGTTGAGCTAACCAATTATAAGCAAGCAGCTCAGTTTCCTAAATGGACAACAACTACGAACGAACAGCTGGAGGCTTTAGATCGAAACAAAACATGGGAGATAATGGATTTACCAAAGGGAAAGCATCCTATGTCCAAATGGGTTTATAAGATTAAGCATAACCCAGATGGAACCATTTCTCATTACAAAGCTCATCTTGTCGCCAAAGGCTATAATCATATGGAAGGGGTGGATTACTTTGAGACTTTCTCACCCGTTGCAAAGTTAACTACGGTCCGATTACTACTTGCAATTGCTACAATTCGTCAACGGCACTTAGAGCAGCTCGATATCGACAATTCTTTCTTGCATGGTGATCTATCTGAGGAGGTTATATGTCTATTCCACAGGGGGGTTTCTGTTGATGGAACTCAGAAGGTATACAGGTTGCGAAAATCTTTATATGGCCTTAAACAAGCCAGTAGGTAGTGGAACGCTTGTCTAACCATAGAGCTGCATTTTCTTGGCTATACCCAATCCTCCTCTGACCATTCCTTCTTTACCAAGGCTAATAGAATATCTTTCACTGCTCTTTTAGTCTATGTCGACTATATGGTGTTGGCAGGGAACTACATGGATGAGATAAAGATGGTTAAAAGTCACATGGATAATTTATTTAAGATCAAGGACCATGGATCATTGCATTTTTTCTTGGCCTTGAAGTGACTCGTTCCAATCGTGGTTTGGTTTTAAATTAGCGCAAATATGTACTTGAGCTACTCAATGACAGTGGCTTACTTGGCTCAAAACCGGTTTCAACTCCCATAGAACCTAGCCTTCGCCTTCGATAAAACCAGTATGATGCCTTTCCTGAACCCGCAAAGTATCGAAGGTTAGTAGGAAGACTTCTCTATCTCACTAATATAAGGCCAGACATCGCTTTGCTATCTAACAATTAAGCTAGTTTGTAGCACAACCCATGCAAGTTCATTTTGATGCAGCTTGTCGGATTCTTAAGTACTTGAAAGGATCTCCAACTAAAGGTTTATTCTTCCCTTCAGACAATTCGTTGTTGGTTTGTGGTTTTGCTGGTGCAGATTAGGCAACATGCCCCGACACTAAACGTTCTATCACAAGCTTCTCTGTCTTTGTTGGGTCTTCTTTAGTGTCGTGGAAGTCCAAGAAACAAAGCACTGTGAGTCATTTCTCTGTTGAATCAGAATATCGTGCTCTTGCTACTCTTACATGTGAGATCCAATGGTTAGTGCATTTGCTTCATGATCTGAAAGTCCCATTTTCCCATCCTGTTATGGTCTACTGTGATAATCAGGAGGCCATCCATTTTGTTCACAATCCCTCCTTTTATGAGCACAACAAGCACATAGAATTGGACTGACACATCACAAGGGAGAAGATAGTTGCTAGTTTGATTCGATTCTTACCTGTTTCAACCATTCAACAGCTAGCAGATACTTTTACTAAGGTGTTGTATCCTGCTCTTTTTCATGATTTTTTGTCCAAGTTGGGGTTCCATGACATCCACCTTCCAACTTGAGAGGGGGGGGGTGATGAGACTCTTTATTTATGCACATGTTAGTTAGCTTTTTGTTTAGTAATCTATTAGGAAGTTAGTAATCTGTTAGCACATCTGTAATCTATTAGTAGATTAATTGTAAACTCTTTAGTTTTGACCTACACTATATATTGGTGTAGTGACCTGTATTTCGCATCGATTGATTCATTTTTACCTCACTTATCTAACCATGAAGTTTTGTGTTAAATTTCTTCTCTTTCTCTTCTATTGTGTGAAATACCACCAAACAGATGGTATTCTTGGAATTCCAGGTGTTGAAAAATTTTTGCACTTTTTTTGGGACAAAATTCCGGTAATATTTTAGTCTACCAAATAATTTTTTGCTAACGTTCCTGGGAAAATGACTTTCCCACCATATTATTGGGAATCATGATTCCCGGACACGAAAAAATTTATCCTCTACCAAACGTCCCCTTAAGGTATTCTAGGTTAAAATTATAATCTATTGATTTATATGTGGTAGCAACCTTTATTTGTAAATTTGTTCCCTCTTAATATATAGAATTTTAAGTTGGGAAAATATTTCTGCTTTTGCTGCAGAAAAAACTTGTCTGTCACACTCTTATAAAAGTGAGTGGTGCCATTATAATGGCTTGAGAGATAAAATATCAGTGAGATCCACTCATTTTTATGTGAATATGGCAGAGAAGTTTTTTATGCAGCGAAAGCAGAAACATTAAACCATTTTAAGTTATGTAAGATTATTGTCGTTAATTTATTATTCTTATATTGGTGTAAAATGACCTGCCTTTTGTCTAATGACAACTATATATTTTAAAATTATTTAAAGATGAGAATGGATCTCTTATATTTAAAATTTAGATTATGTGAAATTTTTATGTGTATCTCTTTCTTCATTAATGATAATTGAACACAACATATTTAATACATATATAAAGAAAGAGATAGATACAAAAATTTCATCTGACCAGGTCACATGAAATTTTAACATTAGAGGATATACTTCCTTTAAAGACTAAGATGCGAATTTCGATGAAGATCATATATTTAACATATGTTATTGACTTTTTAAGATAAAAATATAACCTCAAATAATTAATAGAAAATATATATTATGGCAAACAAACTCAATTCATTAAGCATTTAAACTGTGCATGAATGATCCCAAACCATCAATGTTAGTTGAAAATTATTTGTATTATTCGAGAGTAATGCTACAAAAATGCAAGAGATTTTAATTGCACTTATATGTACGTAATATAAATGAAATTATTATTATTTTCTTATGAAAATTATTCTTTGTTTCTGCTTTTTAATCAAACATTCCTTTGCGTAATAGTACTTTCGTTAATCCCAAACAGGTAAGAATAAGATGTATATACAATTTAAGTGCGTCCTTAATTAAGGCGATTACCAAAAAAAAGTGCGTACTTAAGGCTTCTATAAATAAAACTACTGGAGATAATAGGTATCTACAGTAAGTATTGTGTAAGACTGTTTTTTTTTTTTTCGTGACTTTTTTTTAGAAAAAGGATGTTTAAGATATCAGCATTAATTAATCATCAGTGGCATATATATATAGTTATGAGTTATGAATTAATTTCACAACAATGATTAGAGACAAACCAGATTCAAATAATGATACAAGCTGTAAGGCTGTCAGGAAATCCAAACAATCCCGTGAACAAGAATCGTGTGATTGTTTAATTTACCTCAATTACCGCTCACGAATATAACAGATGATATATATTTTTCTTTCTTTCAAGAATAAGGTTCCTGATTGTTTAACTTATAATATTGTTTAATCGTGTGATTGTTTAATTTACCTCAAACCAAACAAGAATCGTGTGATTGTTAGCCTAGTGGTGTGGGATGTGTGTGTTAGGAGTGTGTGTAGTGTAGGGTGTTGTGTTCAATTCCTTGTAACCTCCAAAAAAAAGAAAAAAAGAATAAGGTTCCTAATTCGATTTTGGTAATCGCCTTAAGATGAATAAGGATTCCTTCTCTTGCATTAATTAGTTATTAATGGTCACTTTTAATACATATATATATGATTTATTTTTCATGGATTTTACAATCATATGATCTTTTTTTGGTACATCATATAATCCTTATTTTACCATAGAAATTCTTATTCTGCACCAACTTTTTACTTCATTCATTAATTTCTACAAGTGAAGTTCATCATTCTGTGCTTTGTTAAACAGCTAAATGAAGTACAAAGAAAACATAATCATTGAATTATGGTTAAATTCTCAAACGGGTAGATTTATAACTACATATATGCTTTTCAATGGCCAATTGGTCCACAATTTTTTTAGGCATGACAAAAGTTAATCATGATTGTCACACTTAATTAGTTCAAGAGATGATAACAATATTATAAGTTTGGTTTGGAATTTGAGAAAGAAAAAAAAGGCAGGTATATATATATACATATGGGGTTAGTTCGAGTTTGAGAAAGTTAAAGAACAAAAGGGATATGAGAAAGGTAAGAAGCTTTTTTGATGCAAAAAGTCAAATAAGCAATCAACCATCATAATGATACTTCACCGATGCAGAGAGAGAGGGTGTGATAGATAGATATGCATCCAATATCCGTCATGATTATCCTCCGATATTTCTTTTGTAAATGGTGCCACGAAAAGAATTAGCTTTATAATAAAAATGATCCAAAAGAAACCTAGAAGTGATAGATAATGTATTACCGGATCTCCCTTTACTCCTTTTTTTTTGAGATACTTTATGGTGAATTGATGAATATAATGATCGATAATTTTAACTTACATTTGATTATGTATCTATCTCTATTATTGTGCACTCAACAGGTTTCACTTTTTTGCACCACATATATAATTTCATCAAACAGTAACGGGGATGTTGCATGGAAGTTTCATAGATTTTGAGGGCAAACATATATTCCCTGTTGAGCCATTTTGTCGTGTATTGTTGACCTACACATGCCACAGTAAAATTCCACTAACATTGAAGGACATGGAATTTCCAAGCTTTTTAGGCAAACAGTACCATCATCACTATTTGCAGCAACCTGCTATAGCTTTGGTTGAATTGTTACTAAAGTCCCTAACTTTTTAGCATATTTTTCGCTTCCTTTTTCAACATTTTCCGCTAGTTAGTTCCCTGCCTCATTTATCTATCCTTATTCTTATATGTACCACAATCCACTTAGTTAGTTATTCACTCTTCACATGTTTGAATATATGACATGACAAAGACATTTATAAATTAATTAGCATCCTCGAAGAAAAAGAAAAAAAGTTGGTTTTACACCGAACCAAGGTTTGAGAGAAACCCTCTATATAACTTGCACTGAACCTCATGCTCTAGAAAGATCATCAACTTCTATATATAGATTATAAGAAGAGAAGAGGGAGAGAAAGAGAAAGAAAAAGATCATAAGAATTAAGAAGTGATGTCAACCACTTCTCTTGTTAACCACAGTTTGTTTGAGGAACAGGATCAGATGCCTATGCAGATGGGGTTCCTTCCTTTCCCATCAAACCTGACTCTCCCTCCTTTGGTTTGTCATAATCAATCTTTGAAAGCTTTCAGTTCCATAGCTCCTTCACTTGCATCTGAAGCAGATTCTGCATCAAATCTAACAGAAACCCTATTTGCAACCTCTGCTCAAAAGTCAAGAGAAGACTTTTCTTCTAGCTTTGGAGGAGCTCAATTCCTATCCTTACACAGATCCAGTGTAAATCCATGGTGAGACAAAACCACACTTCAATTCTCATTCATGTTAATTAACCTTTTTTCATTATGTAATTAAGCTCTATTTTAGGACATACATATTCTATAGCTAAAGAGAGTTTGTTGGGTCATGGGTGTGGTTTCATTTCATTGAATTTAGGGCATTAGGAGAAGTAACTGATTGCTTTAGCAATAAAAGAAGTGGAGAAGATCATGATCATCATCTTGGGATTTCTGCCATGAAGATGAAGAAAATCAAGGCAAGAAGGAAGGTGAGAGAGCCTAGGTTTTGCTTCAAGACCATGAGCGATGTGGATGTGTTGGATGATGGTTACAAGTGGAGGAAGTATGGACAGAAAGTAGTAAAGAACACGCAGCACCCCAGGTATTCAATATGGATTCAAAGTTTCACTACTCTTTTTGTTTTGCCATAATTAAAAAGTTTAAATTAAAGAATATTTGATCAATTAATTAGCCTTATTGATTGTATCCCAACACTTGCTAGCAACATATATATATATATTCTCTCTCCAATCTCCCCTTTCCTCTTTCATTATTGTTTTTATCATAATAGATTTGGCTTTGCTACGGGTTTTGGAAAGATTTGAATTTTTTCTGAGTAATGTGGGGATGACTACAATAATTAAAGATATATACTAAAGCAAGAGTTCACTTTATTTGTCAAGTTACGGAAAAAAAAAATGCAAGAGAATTTTGTTAGGGGAAGAGGATGAAAATTTGCCAATGTTAAAGAAATGCTAATTATGACTCTCAGATGTTATAGTATATGCAAATGTACGATAACTTTTTTCTTACACTCTTCGGGTGGATGATACTCTTGCTACCTAGGTCTCTGCCAACATTTCCTCACAAATACCCCTTTGTAGCATTTTCGTGTCTTTAAGGATTTTACTATGGAAACATGCAAATAAAGATACAAATGGTATTTATAGTGCCTTATTTGTGGTATTGGTAGCTCTTGCATTATATAATGATCAATTAATGGTTCTGATTTAGCTTCAAGTTTTATTCAGCAGTCACTAATTAATACTTCACAATCACACAATTGCGATCATAACAAACTACTAATAATGTGTCTTGGATTTGAAAATACTATGGAGGTTAAAGATTTTGCCAGTTAACATAAAAATCACTAGCTTATAATACGATCATGACAAACTCATTGAACAAAGTACAAACATTACCAAGTTCTTTAATAATGTGTTTTGGGTTTGTTGCATATGTAGAAGCTACTACCGTTGCACACAAGATAATTGTCGCGTAAAGAAACGCGTGGAGCGTTTGGCCGAGGATCCAAGGATGGTGATAACCACATATGAAGGGAGACATGTACACTCTCCATCAAATGATCTTGAAGACTCTCAATCTCCATCTCAACTTTGCAATTTCTTTTGGTAGTGTACACGAACATATATATAGTATATTATATTTACTAATGGATATGTTTGTTCTAGCTAGAGGGTGTGCTTTGTAGAGATGAAGATAGAATAAATATATAGAGGAAGGAGTGAAGATTGACAATGTGTCTAAACATGATTGATGCATGATCTTCTCCATCCACTCCTCCCACCTTCATCCCTTCCAAGCACACCATAAGAGTCTGGTTGATTTTTCTAGTTTTATACCATGCATCTAGTCTTGGTGTTTCATAAAAAATTAAGATAGGTAGTGACATTTGTAAGTTGCCCTACCTTCTTCTGCTCTTTAATTTAGTTTTCCAGTTTACTTGTTCTCCAACACTTTCATTATGTTTTTTTTTTTGGAAAGATTATATTTACAAACTATTTGTTTACAAACTACACTAAGTATGACCGGTCATACTTCAATCAAGAGTGTATGATCAATCATACTTAATGTAATTTATAAACGGATCATTCCTCTCTTTTTTTAATAAATTTCACTTTATTATGTCTTTGTTGAGAATGGAAAAAATTAGCGGCGGAGCCACATATGTGTGGGGTGGCCTTGGGCTCGCCCAGTTTTTTTCTAAAATTAGTTACGTTTTAACGTGGCCAAAATAACTGTGGTCAAGTTTTTTTGATAAAATTTAATATTAAATTTAACCTAAATTTTTGTTAGTTCCAGCTCATTAAATAAATTGGTTCCGCCACTAATAAAACTCTTTTAAATTGAGTCGATCTCTAAATTGTACAAGGGTGTATTAATTTACCATTAAATTTTAATTGGAAGGTTAAAATTATGAGATACTTTAAATTAAATAAATGGTAAATATACCTTATTCATATACTTCATAAACAAAGGTTACTTTAAGAGAATTTTTTCATGCACTGAGTGCCCAAAAATATGTTAACACATGATAGTCATATAGGATATATAATCCAACATCCGAAACAAACTTAATGTATGCTTTTATTAAAATGATGTGAGAAATTCTGAAAACTTGAGGGCATGTGAAGCAGAACAAACACAAGAGCAGTGGTGGACCCAGAAAATTATATGAAGAGGGGCGAAAATTTTAACAAATTCAACTTATAGAAGTTTAAATAAAATATAATTTAACAAGTATACTAAATTGACGAATTTAACATAGATTATTTCATTGCCATGTGCCATGTCAACAATGAAAAGTAGGAGAATCACAGTCTTAAACCAAAAAACATGTACATCGATCTCAAGAGATGCACCCATTAAATAATTTTAATAACAAATATAATCACATAACTACAATAAATCCAAAAAGAGGGAGAAGCTCGTAGAACCCAAATTAGGCAAGCACCTAAAACTAATATCATAAAGTTCCATAATGTCCACATCACTACAGACCCATCTACTTCAATTATCAAGCACCATAAAGCTAAACAAATAAATTCCAAAAGTTATTGCAAACTATAATTATTTTATGGGTTAATCTTTTCTCATTTTACATGAGAAAAGATTCTCATGTTACACACACAATTAAAAAGTGGGTCCCATTTTGACTTCTTTGTCTTATCACTTTTTTGTGGACCCCACTCATGTATTGAGTGGGTAGCATGAGAAAATTTTCTCATGTAAAATGAGAAAATTAATCCCCTTATTTTATACCCATTTTTTCTTTCACTTTCTATTGGTTTTTGAGCATTCGAATAGCATGAAACTACAAAAAGATCACAACTTTACAAAGAGAAAGTGAAAATACTCACAACAGGAAAATGGGTATCAAGCTTCTTTCTCATGCTAACATATTTTGGATATCAAATGAAGCAAAAGAAGGAGACTCAAAAAGTGAAATCGAAAGCTTTGAACAAAAACACTGTACCGATCATCAACAAGGTGAAATCAATTCAACTCATTTCAGATCCAAACGACACATAATGCTAATTTTGTTAAAGTAACCCACCAGTTATGAAAAATAAAATATATTATGCATTTTTTTGAGGATATAGACATTTTTTTCTCCAGATTTTAGAGGGGGACGGCCGCCCATGCACACCCCCACGTAGGTCCGCCCTTGCACAAGAGCCACCATACAAATCTGAAACTATGAAGGGAGCAAAATTTAGCAAAGTTTCCGTACTTGCATTGTTTTGTGTCTTTCTGCTGTGAGTCTTAACGAATTCCAAAATGTGATAGGTTCCGTCTATTTAAACTTTGAGTAACGAAGTTCTCATGCTGCATAAGAAGAGGGGTAAATTCTTGCTGATCCATCGATCCACATGCTTTTACTTTTTTGGTTTGCTTTTTCTTTCTCTCATAATGGGTCCCACTTTGGTTGAGTGTATATAAGAAATTTTTTTTATTCTTATCACATGAGAAATGTAAAGCCCTTAAACTTTTTTAAATAAAAATAACAGGGATAAAAATGAAAAAAAAAAATTAGAGTTGTGAGAGGGAGCACCAAATCATTGAATGGTCCCGGAGCATATTAAATATTTCCATATCCTGCGGCGCCATCGTCCTTGAAATTGCACAAACTTCAATTTAATAAAACTAATATGTTGACCCGTAACTAATTGTATCATAGAATGAGGGAAGTTCATGCTACATAATTTTTTTTTTAAATATATTGGGAATCGAATACAGCACCTACTATCCACTACCCACCCTCTCATCACTAGGTTAGCTCCAGTGCCTTTATATAAAAATTTTAAAAACAACATCGTTGTGTTTCATTTTGTAAATATGAAGATGTGTTTATCTTATGCTAAAATTAGACTCGAATAATGACCCGCTAGTGACTTAACATGATGTGGATGGAAGAACATATTACGATAATGAGAAAAAAATATCTAATATTTTTTTTTTTAAAATATCTAATATTTACCGAAACGATATCGTTTCGAGATTCAAAGATTTAAAAAATTAAAATAATAAGAATTATTATAATCTTAGAATAAATTAAAATTACAAATATACGATGACTTTTATCTCAAAATGACATCGTTTTGATTTACATTAGACAATTTTTTTAAAGTAATATTAGAAAAAATGAACCCTACAATAATAGTTATACTAAGTGGAAGTGATTTGTTAAAAAGTGAAAGTTTAGGTGTGATACTATATAAACTTTTCCCAAAAGAAAAAAGAGTGAGGTAAAAAAAAAAAAGGGTTAAATAATGTGATAAAAAACCTGTGAATCTGTGATTAAATCTTGGAAGTGTTGGGTTGGAGTCACTGCCTCACTGGACCATGATATCCCTCTATATAGACGGAAGACGAAATACCCTTTATTATTTATTAGAGTAAACATCATTTTTGGTCCCTAACAAAAAAATACGATCCCCACTTTAGTCCCTTACAAAAATAAATTAGTCAGTTAGTTCCTAACAAATTCAAAGTGAACCCGTTTTACTCCTTTTGAAGGATTAATATGGATCTTTTTTAAATTTGTGAGAGACCACAATTTCAACTAAATAGGTCCACTTTGAATTTGTTAGGGACTAAATGACTAATTTATTTTTGTAAAGGATTAAAGTGGGGACCGTGTTTTTTGTTAGGGACCAAAAATGATATTTACCCTATTTATTATTTTCTAAACCGAATACTTAGTGATAACCCAATGATTTTCTTTTGGGTAGATTGGGCTACATATGTGATGGGCCAATGCTTTTAATCGTGCATGGGTCGACGAATCTCTACTTTGGGCCCTGGCTGAGACTTCTAACTCGTAATAAATTGAATGGTAATTGGTATAATGCAAACTTCTGTCTTAATTACTAATCAGTTTAGGGACTAAGAGTCCATTTGACCATTTGAACACTAACAACATGTTTTAAAAAATAAAAAACTAATCTTCTCAATTTATTTATCTATTCAAAATTTCAAATGCCATTTTTTCTTTTTAAAAAGAGTTAATATATTATTCTTCATAAACCAATATTCTTGGCTTCTAAAAAAGCCACTTACTTCCTTTGAATTTCAATTTTGTTCCAATCTCCAACCCTCACCATCATCATTTCTTGTTTGTCGACCACATTACTACCATTGTAAATCACCACTACTATCATTGTAAATCACCACTGTAATTGCCACCACTTTCATCACTAACAACGGCCATTATCAGTGCCGTCATTGACCACCAGCACCACCAATTAAAAGATAATTGATAGAGAACTTGCTTTTGAAATACTTCAATGAATTTACTTTTTCATGTCATTTTTAATAACTTTATATATAAAATATGTTTTTTAGTTTAACATCCAAACAAAACAACTATTCTACAAAATAATAGTAGCTTAGATGGCGCCAAAAAATCGAATAGATGGAGGTGACATTATCTGTTCGATCATTCCCAATAGAGGCGGACATGCACTTGTGCAAGTGCATACACAAATTTTTTTTGGGGGGGGGGGGGGGGAAGAGAGTAAAGTATCTTTTGGGTTCTCAAGAAAAATCACGGGGATCAATTTAATCCCTTAGAGAAAAAAGCCAACTTGTGGTCCTTAAAAATTCTAAAATAGACTCATTTAGTTGAAATCATGGTCATTCTGAAATTCAAAGAAGATCCACGTTAGTCCCTTGAAAGAACTAACATATATCTATTTTAATTTTGAGAAGGATATTGAGTCTTTTTTTTTTCTAAGAGATTAAATTGGACCTCATAATATTTGAGCGAGTTTTATCTGCAATAACTTTTGTTAAGGATAAGTTGCACAATCGGATAAGTGATAATTGGTTTAACGCATGCATGCTAACTTATGTTGAACGTGATATATTTGATAAGATTGATGATAAAGATATAATACAATATTTTCAAGGAATGAAGAATCGGAGAATGCTTTTGTAATCGTTCCATTGTAATAGTTTAGTTGACTCTTGATTACTATTTTTTTATGTTAAGGTTTTCTATTATTTTCTTGTTTATATATCTTTTGTTTTTAATACAGACATAAAAAAAAAAATTGGGTCCACCATTGCTCCCCGATGTCACTTTTAGGAGATATTTAAAGCTTTAATCCCTGGAATCCATCCCAAAGCGGACTAGTCGCGAAGCGATTGGAATATTTTCCAAAAAATAAATAAATTTCGCGTGTAAACTGTTCTTAGCACCAGCTAATTACATATATTAAAATACAAAAATAAAAATATTTCCAAACAATTATCTTTATGAAATATATTAAGAAAATTAAAGTAAAAATTGTTTAACGAAATTTAAAATATTTATTACATTAAAAAGAAAAATATTTAAGTTCATTTTGAGATTAATTAATTAAGAACATTATTCTAT